AAATAGATCCAAAGACATGGAAGCATAGAACAGACTGTGGAATCTCAGAGGGAAGATGGATGGGTGGGAAGTGATCAGCCAAAGAACTTGGATGCATATATGCATAACCCATGGACACAGACAACAGGGTGCTGAAGGCCAGGGGTGGGCTAGAAGGGGTCAATGGGGGAGAAAGGGAAACATATGTAATACTTTCAACAATAAAGATTAAAAAAACAAAACACCACATGTGGGTGTCGGGCCAGCCTGTTCTGCGCCTCTACCCTTCCTACCAGTCTTGATGTGCTTTCTTCTTTACTTCTCTAGTTGTAGAATTTCCATTCAGGTTGCAGGTGGTCTGAATGATGGTTGTTCTGTATTTTAGTTGTCCCAATCAGATATTTAAAGAGAGGAACTTTCACAGCTGTAAAGTGCTGTGACTCATAAAAGCAAGGCAGGGTTTCTCTGGAGGGGGAGCAGCAGGAGCCCTGAGAACATGAGCAAGATTTGTTGGGGACCAAGCAGCTCCTCAGAATGCACAGGGAGGGGCTTCTGGATTAGGCATGAGCCAGAGTTTAGCCGAGGTGACCTGGAGTAGGCCGTGCTGAGTGGGCATCTTCATCACTATTGGGTAGATGGGTATTTTTATTTGCAGGCCCCCAGCGGCCAGCTGTTGGCTGAGCTGTGTCCAACACGTAGGGGGGATTTGCTCCAGTCGGGTCGTCACCTGAACTCAGAAACAACCCCCTACCCCTGCTCAATGAAGGTCTTTCTCCCAGCTGGCTCATGGGCCCAGCCTCTGTTGGTGGTGATCTGCCAGATCTATCATTGATGGCCAAGGTGAGTGCTCTTTGACCCAGTGACCCCACCTGCAGGAACCTCCCACCAAGTGTCCTTGCACAGGTGTACACATTCAACAGGGCCAGGACACTCACTACAGTGAGGCTGGAACCTAAATAGCCTGGGAATGACCACAGGAGGGACATGGGGAGTGGGCAGTAGGCATTCAGTGAGACTTAGAACCACATGCTGGCCAGACAATGGAATGGGGAACACTCCGTGCTTACACGTGCAGTTGGGGCAGAGGGTACGGAGAACCCTAGCTCCCTCAGGAGTGGGACTGTAGATGGGGGTAGTGCCTTCTGCCACCCACCTTGTACCTTTAAGTTCAAAGCTGGGGTGTTGATGGTTTTTTTTTTAATTTTTAAATAATTGATTTTAGAGAGAGAGGAAGGGAGAGGGAGAGAAAGAAACATCTATGAGAGAGAGACTCATTGTTTGGCTGCCTCCAGCATGCCCCTATTGGGGAACGAGCCCACAACCTGAGCATGTGCCCTGACCGGGAATCAAATGGTGACCTCTTGGTTCATGGGTCGACACTCAACCACTGAGCCACACCGGTGTAAACATAAAAACACTCAAACCTGTAAAGAGTTTTTGTGAGTTTATTTGAGCCAAACTGTCGACAATTGCCGGAAAGCAGAATCTCAACGTATTGCGATAATGCTGTGGAGAACGGCAGTTTTTTACCTTGTTTTATACATTACAATCAAAGGAGGAGACATAAGAAATCCATTGGTGATAGATTAGGTGGGGCAGGAGAAAGCAAAGCAGGGAAACCTCTGGGATTGGATAAAGAGTAAAATGATAGACATACACTTCTTTTACTTAGGTGGGCGCAGGATAGTTAACAGTCCACAATTAACACAATAACAATGAGGGGATTTATGATCTCCGCTGAGTGATGCCTGTGCTTTGAGGGGTCCGGAAAGAGGGAAATTACTTTGACATTCCAGTGATATGTTATCATAGATGCAAACAGACAATAGGCTCAGTTAAGGTAAAGATTGACCTTTGTCAGGGAAGATACTGGCCTGGGACATGACTATCCACTATAAACTGCTTTTAGTTAAAGTTTTAATTTCAGACCATCCTTTGTGGTTACTTTAGGTCTTTGAGTTTGCAAAACTGCCACACAGGCCTTCCCTGAGCTAGTGAGGTTGGCATGTGGCCCTTTTTTTGTCCACACCGGCCAGGGCAAAGGTGAGGTTTTTAACCAAGTACCTGTACTTCTTGAGATAAATAGAAAATCAAACCTTTCATCCTGGCAATGTTTAGAAAAATCCCGTTCCGGCTGAGTACAGCAGCGATATGGCGAGGAGGGGTGCCTGTCCGAGGGTGGCGGGCCCAGGATGGGGTGGGCTCTCTCTGCTGTTGGACATGCACAGCTGGAGACCCCCTGTGCCACATGCCTGCATGGACTCAGCTCCCCCTGAGGCCAAAAGGATGAACAGGGGTCAGGTGGAGAGGGCATAAGTAGTGTCCCAGGTAGTGGTGAGAGGCCACTGATCCCAGCACAGACCCCGGGCTGGGTCACCCCTGCCCCTCAGGCTCCTGTGGTCTTCCAAAGCCTGAGCTGGTCAGGGTCACTTGAGGCCTCCACACACCCTCTCTGTGCCAGGAGCTGCTCTGTTCCCAGCCTGCAGGGCCCAGTCCTCCTTGTCCTGGAGGAGCTGGCCTGGGAGGGCAAGACTGGGGCAGGTTTTCCCATCCCTTTCACGGGGCCCATGCACAGTCCATGCATTCAAGTTGCTTTGGGACCCATAGGTTTGCTGCTGGCTGGGACCCATCCTGCCCCCTGCTCTGGTGGCCTGAGGGCTGACTATCAGATCCTGCCTACACTTCCCTAACAAGCAGCCTGTGAGACTGGGCCTCCTCAGCCCTCTGGTTTTTGGGGGACACTCCTTCCCCACTATGGGTGGAATCCAGCTCAGCCCCTGGATGCTCCTCCAAATTTTCCACTTGACATCACCTGTGATCCTTGCCCTGGGCTAAATAGTGTCCCCCAAAATTGTGTAGCTGTGAATAGGACCTTATTTGAAATTAGGGTCTTTGCAGATAGAATGATGTTAAAAAGAGGTCACATTGGATTAGGGTGGACCCTAAACCCAATAAAGGAAAAAGGCCAGGTGGCGAACGAGACAGAGAGCCAAGGAACACCGGAAACGCCTGGGGCCACCAGCAGCTGAGAGGCGCAAAGGATCCTCCCCGGGAGCCAAATCCCAGGTCAAGAACCTAACATGCAAACTGGCTATAAACTGGGGAGCCCAGAAAGCAGCAACCTCAGGGACGCGGGAGGCCACGAACAAAACTCAGGAAACCAGGACTAACATATCACTGGAATGTCAAAGCTCACACCCTGGGCACTGCTCCGAGGCAGGCTGGTGGAGCGTGCGGAGCGAGCTGCAGGGTAGACTGGACTCCAGCTTGTGGAAGTGGCTTTAAGTCGGTGGCTGCACTCGCTGGCTCCGCTTCTTCACATCTCGGGGATAAGCCCGGGGTGCCATCGGGGCCGGGACATGCCCCGGCACGAGCCTCAGAGGAACTGCACTACCCGCCGCAGCCCAAGCACCTTCCGGGGTCGCCCCGCCCCAGGCCCGGCCTCTGCAGCGCGAGG